TTGAAAATTCTTTGTGTAAGGAAAGAAACAAAAGATTTGTTTAGATTCCATTCTTATTTTTGATTTAAAAAGGAATATTCTTTCTGCCTATTGTTCATGATACCAGTAGGTGTGACATGAAGTGAGAACAGATTTCTTTTTTTTTTTTTTTTTTTAGGTTAAACGTATTTTAATGACATTTTAAAAGCCTTTTAATTTGAACCAATTTTAAACTTACACAAAAGTTGGAAAACCAGCCAAGTTCACACATACCCTTCCCAAATATAAACTCCCCTTAACACTTACTTTTCATAAATTATCAAAAGAAGGGGTTAACGTTGGTACAATATTATTGACTAAATTATAGATCTTATTTGAATTTTATTCTTTTTTTTAAATGTCTATTTTCTGTTCCAGAACTCTAAGATCCTGCATTGCCTTTAGATATTATTTCTCCTTAATCTCCTCCAATTTGTGACAGTTCTTGTGGATGAGATTGGAATCAGTATAAACTCATGATTTTTGATGTTTATATACAAAAAAGAAAGAAGCAGAAATACAAATGTGCATCTGTGTATGTCTGCTAATATATATATATACAATACCTGGCTGTTTCTCTGAGACAGAATAGAGGCAATGACATCTTAGTAGCAATGAGCAAGCAGGTCTTAGAACAGATTTTCTAATTTTTAGCTTCTCAGAATAATGTTCCAATGTTTATGCCTAAAGGTACATTTGAAATGACCTGGTCCAAATTGCTCATTTTACAAATGAAGACACTGGCTCTCAGAAAATTGAAGTGTTTCTCCCCAAACCACCCAATCAGCAAATGACAGAACAGAGATAAAGCTGGGGCTCAGGCCACTCAACCCCTCTTGTCTGCTTTGCTACATTATGCACTTTTCCCTGCAACTGCTCTCAATACAACTGAAACCTACAATTCTTGGGCTTGAGGCAAGGTTATAATTGGCTGCACAACAGAAGAAAAAGTGTAATGAGCAATATCAAACCTCTGAAATACCAAATAAGGCTATTCTTCATCTTAAGCAGAAGAAAAAAGACAGAAAAATTTGGGCTAAGGACTTCTAAATACCATGAAAACCATCTCTTGACTCTGATAAGCACATATAGGATATCAAACGCTTGAAAGTCACACAAAACTCAGGGCTTGGTATTTCAGAATTTCCCTCGAAATGAAAGAATTCCAGATCCTGGCCCGGAAAAAGAGTGAGATAACTCAGAAAAAAAGGTTAACTTTCTGCTATCTCAAGACTGTCCAAATGAAATCAATGCTTTATTTCACCTTTTCAGTCTGTGACTCTTTAAGAAAAGGGACTAAAGTCTTTCTTATTTTCTAGGACTCAAAGCCTAACATAATCTTTTCTTTCCACAGCATGTAATAATTAATTATGGAGTTAGATAAATGTTCAATCAGTTACCTCTGACCGACAGGTAGACTGTGATGAAGCTGTCCCAATAAATGGTAATATGACAACTGGTGTTAGGAGGCTGCTTTATACTTTCAACCATCATATCATTTGTCCTTTTGGACTTTTCCACAGAAAAATCCCTGTACCACAGGCTATGGGTATAACTCATCACTGGGCTGCTTCCAGGCTGTTCTCATTTTGCTGCCAATCAATTGGTCTCTTTGAGGAGACAAAGAAATTCTATATTCCAGCCAATTTTATCAGTCTATAATTATTCTTTTTCAAGAATAATTGAAAAAGAATATTGTTTTCTACATGCCTGGCTGGGCATGGTGGCTCATGCTTGTAATCCTAGCACTTTGGGAGGCCAAAGTGGGCTGATCACAAGGACAAGATATCAAGACCATCCTGGCCAAGATGGTAAAACCTTGTCTCTGCTAAAAATGCAAAAAAATTAGCCGGGCATAGTGGCACCGACCTGTAGTCCCAGCTATTCAGGAGGCTGAGGCAGGAGAATCGCTTGAACCTGGAAAGTGGAGGTTGCAGTGAGCTGAGAAAAAATAAAGCCTCGTCCTCAGAGTTAGGTTTCAGAAGAACCGCAAGTCTGCATTTTAATAAGCACCCTGAAATTCTCATATTCTTTCCTTAATGTATTTGAAATATATAATCCAATACACATACAGGTTAAGGAGGTATTATTTAATAAAGTACTCCCTTTCTCTTTGCCATTTGGTAGCATCAGATATTCCTTTCTAATTTAAAACTCTCTTCCTTGACAACAATACAATCAAAGCTTAAGAACTCACTGCAATCTGTTTGGTTTTAGAAAATAAAACACACAAGTGAAAGTTTAATTATAGTAAACAAGAAAAATATTGTATTAATGTTACTCTAAAAATGATTGTCAAAGACAATGACCTCAAAATTCAGGATACGACAAATGAAACCTGACAAACAGCAGCAGAGGGAGAAACCCTGGGATTATGTGGTCACAAAATCAAAGTGAGAGTTACTGTATATCAAAGCAATGAAGCAGCCAGTGACATTTTTATCAACCAGTATATTGCTGAAATGATATCATTTCCTTTGACTATTGAGTTCTTCTGACCAGACTTGACTCACATGTGAATACTGTGGGGAGTATTATTAAAAGGGTGTTTAAAAAAAAAATTAACTGTTGAGATTGAAAGAAATACACTCCCATCAAAAGTAATATTATCTGAGATTGTTGCTGATACTGTCCTGATATTGCTGACACTGCTCACAGCTTCTGATTTTGTTCTGAAAACTGCTCTTTAGAGTTTTCTTAAGCATTTAAGATAATTTAGAGAACTTTTATAACTCTAGACTATAGTGAAATTTGCCATAACTAATAGCTTGTATTTTGTGAATATAAAATATTACCTTGAAGGAAAACACTAACATGTGAAATAATATTATTAGAGTTTTGAACTATTCCGAGAAAGAAAGACATAGGAATTAATTTCAAGCTTCCTCCTTATTAAGCAGCATTTATAACATACACAAAAATTCCATGAAAAATACGGCAGTGTGGTTGACATGAATCCTGAGCAAAATTCTACAGTAGATGTTCTGAACACTTTTTTACTCATTCTATAAAGAAAATGTACTTGGTAGGAGGCAGCAGGGAACTCACAGACATGACTGGCAGCTTCTGCCTTTGTTTTTGTTGCTATGATTACAAAAGTTGTAATAAGAGAATGAAAATTGTAGTATATCTTGGTTTCAACTTGAAAACATTTATCACTCATTCATCTGAATGTGACGGGGATTGTGGCTGGTAACAGCAGAATAAGGTGGATTCATAACCGATTGTACAACGAAAATTTTAAAATGTTGACTAATTAGTCAATCTCAGTTTGGAAGAACGGCTTTAGAAATGCTCTGCTGGGCTCTGGCTTGGCTGTTTCCAGAATGATATAATTATGAAACTGGAAAATCACAGAAAAGTCAATTCAGCTTGAGGTAGAATTTCTAAATGATTTGATGTGTCTGAATAGGGCAACACATTGTAAGCGTTCGGTTGAGGTGGTCAAGCAAAGAACAAACTCAAAATGACGATGAGATGATGGCACTGAGGTATATGAGGTTATAAAGCTTTGGAAGTGGTAGGGAATAGGAGATGCTGATTGAATAAATGTCTGGGGCTCACAGTCCACTTCTGTTTGTATTTTGTTCCGTCAGATTTTTTTCCCCCTAAGCTAAAATGTCCAGGGGAAAAAATAAGCGAAAAAAGAGAAAAGTACTGGATCAGATGATAATCTAAGTCCCTTCCAGATTTAGGATTCTATATCACTGCAACTGAGATTTGTCTGAAATGTGTTAAAGATATCTGCAAAAGATATACTCTCTTAAGAGAGTTTCCAGAAATCACATTCCTCAGTTTGTGTGTGTCTGTGCACCCAACTCACAAATACACACACGCCTATGCATTTTACGAATCCTCATCACTCAGTGCTAGACTAGTGATTTTGTTTGCTGAATTGTCTCATATATCTAAGACTCATGATTCTGATCCTCCTGCCATTTTAAAAAATGATAAATTTTCTCTTGTAGTTCAAAGATTTAAATTCACCTTACGTACAATTAAACTAAATATACCAAATGCCCAATTATCCTTTCACAGCAGTTGAGGGCTTCACAGTTATAATCATCAGTTTAGTTCCAGGTCTCCAGGAGGGACGTAGGTGAGCCCAAAGCTCAGAATGATTTTTTTTTATTAAGTGTGTAGGTATATATTTCTGCCTTTCAAAACTAAATACCATATTTAATTATATATTAGATGATATTAGTCCATTTTCTATTGTTTATCATAGTGTGTCTGAAAATGGGTAATTTACTTTAAAAGGAATTTATTTTTTACAGTCATGGAGGCTGAGAAGTGTAAGGTTGAGGGGCCACATCTGACAAGAGCCTTCTGGCTGGTGGGAACTCTACAGAGTCCCGAGATAATACAGGGCATTATATGACAAAGGGACTGAGTGTGCTACATGCTTGCTGGTTTTTCTTCCTCTTCTTATAAGGCCACCAGTTCCACTCTCATGATAATCCACTGATCCATTACTTTATGAATGGATTAATTCATTCATGAAGGCAGAACCTTTATGATTCAATCTCCTCTTAAAGGCCCCACTTTTTTTGACATACAATCATATTTAATCATCACAATATGTTAACATGTCTATTTCAGTGCCTTAAATATTGTAGGTACCTAAAAGCTTTTAGTTGAATCTAAAGTGTGTGTGTATACACACACACACACACACACACACACACACACACATATATATATACACACGTATATACCTATACATACAAATATATATAATTTATTTTACAGGTTCTGGGATACATGTGCTGAATGTGCAGGTTTGTTTATAAGTATACATGTGCCATGGTGGTTTGCTGCACCTGTGAACCCATCATCTAGATTTTAAGCCCCACATGCATTAGGTATTTGTCCTAATGCTCTCCCTTCCCTTGCCCTTCACCGCACCCCACCAACAGGCCCCAGTGTGTGTTGTTCCCCTCCCTGTGTCCATGTGTTCTCATTGTTCAACTCCCACTTACCATTGAGAGCATGTGGTGTTTAGCTTTCTGTTCCTGTGTTAGTTTGCTGAGGATTATTCTTTCCAGTTTCATCCATGTCCCTGCAAAGGAGATGAACTCATTTTTTATGGCTGTATAGCATTTCACGGTGTGTATGTAAAGGCCCACTTTTTAATACTGCCACATTGGGAATTAAGTTTCCAACATATGAAATTTGGGGGATATATTAAAACCAGAATATATATTGTGTCTATCATTCAGTAACAAATCAATCATTATACAGTAAGATTATCATTAAAAGTGGAACCAAAAAAGTGAGGAGTATCTAAAGCAGTATCTAAATGCACATTCTTTCAACAAATACTTTTTGAGCACCTCCACGTGTCAGATATTGTGCTAGGCACAAGGATTGTAACAGCAAACCATGACCTTAGAGACATTACATTCCAGTGGAGAAATTTAGACATATACAAACAAACACATATCAGGTGGTAATAACTGCTATTAAACAGATAAAGCAGGATTATGGGTACAAAGTAAGGGGGCTGCCATTTTGTACAAATATGGGAAAATATAAGCTCTCTGTTCAAGAGCAAAGACTGCCTCAAACAAGATTCTTGCATAGCAGAAAAATAAGTGGCTCATTCTCATAATGCTTATTGTTTCTAAGGTTTTGTGCAGAGCCATTTCACCCGCCTGCTTTAGCGCCTCTCTTCCCTTGCTATGTATCTTTTACTTTGTAGTTCGTCTGGTTTCCTTTTGACTTCCTCAAGGTGTTAAGAGTTCTTCACCGTTGTGATATAAGCAACTTTTCCTCCCATTGACTGATTTTCTGCTGAAAATAAAGAGCTCTAAAACAGTTTCATTTCACCCCACAAACATGTTTTTTCTTCAAAAATTTTTTGTTTATATACATTTTTTCCATTTAAGAACCTTTACTCCCATAGTTTTATTTTTTATAAACACATTAACTGCATCATTGACATGAGACCTCATTTATCTTTTCTTTGTCTGCATAATAATGTGGTAGTGAACAGATAAAGAATGCATCTGTTCCCTCAATAAAGGGCTAGAAGTCACATTTTGGGTTGTTTTATGTGTGTCAACTAAATTATTTTTAAATAATAAATCTAAGAAATGCTCTATTTGTCTAAAAAGCCATTTTGATATTTCAGTTAATCTCTTCAAACTAATATTACCTCATTGTACTAATTAAGAAATTATATAAAGAAAGAATGATGTCTTTGGGAAATAATTGTATGAGTATAAAAACATACTGTACAAATGATAGCGTTGCTTAAACTATAAAATAGATTCTGGGCAAGATTTGTATTAGATGTAGGATAGACACCAATCTTCACATAAAACTTTTCTAATTTTTTAATCAGCCTGTGTGCGTGTGTGTGTGTGTGTGTGTGTGTGCACGTGTGTCCTTCTCCCTCATTGTCTCACTCTTGTTAAATGCTTTTGATTATAGTGTCTTTATCCTGCAAACCTAAGTTATTATTTTTAAGCATCTAGAAAAGATACAGGGACAAAGTAAAGGAATGGGAGCCTTTTCTTGTCAGTTATAGGGTCTTTGATACTATTTTATAGCATGATCTAGGAATGTTTTACACAGAGTAGAGTTAAAAGATATTCAGTTTGTTACGATTTTTAAGAGTCTGATACAATGTTTTGTTGTTAGCTTATTACTGTTACCTAAACATTTCACAAGTTCAGATTCATTGTTCTGTATCACCACAAAAGTTTTTGCAAAGTTAACATATCAAACTATAACTATTATATCTATTACAAAGTGTATTTGTTCTGATTTACAGTGTTGACTATGCATTCTCAAATAGCCCTGTAGTAGCTTGAACAAGTAGATTTTGATTTTTATTACAACTGAATTTGGGTGCAGGAAGCAGGCTGGTATACAAAAACAATAATTAGGTTAAAAGTCACTTGAGAAGGCAATATATTGAGATGAAAAGAGCTCTGAAAAATAAATAAAAATAAGGCCTTCAGGTTAGGCCTGGCAATGTCATTAAGAGAGCTCAGTGTCATTTCAGGCAACTGACTTAAAGCCTCTAGATCACAGTCCCTTATGGGTGTCTATCCAGAATGACATCTATGAATGCCTCAGAGACCAACTAAATGTGGCAGTGGCCAGGGCCAGACAAAAGTAGTGGGGACTTTGGTGAACCGAAGACTACATATCCTTCCCAAAAGCATTAAATTCAAAATACTGAAACACAGTGATAACTGTAGCATCCCTTTTAGCTTTAACATTCTGTGCTTTTGTGTTTTCAAACAAAATGAATGTGTGCTTATTAGATAGCTACAATGTAAAACCCTGTCATGACTTCAGAAGAACAACATAAACATATGAGCAATATCTGCCTTTGAAGTGTACAGTAAAGAAATAAAACTGGGCAACGAGATAAAGAGGCCAGTTCTTCAAGCGACACAGGGAATGCACACTATTTACGAAAAATGGATCTGTCCCTCTAAGAAACAGTGGGCTGTGTCAGCAAGTGCTATAGTCATTTTCAGAATGGCAATAGCCTCTAACATGAGGGACCAAGGAAAGGCTTCACTGAAATAATAGAGCTTAAGCCCACAATTCAAGTGTAGAGTCTAGATTAGAATAGCATGGGGTTACAAACAGAATGTTTAACTTTTAGGAGACCCTTTATAAGCACTATTAAGTCTGGCTTTAGTTTGTTTCTTAGTTTTTGTTAATGGAGAATGCTTATTGAGGAAAAGTAAAATTTTAGTAAAAAATAGTCTCTAGAATATTTCTGGTACATTTTGACATCAGTCTGGCTGAGATACATACACTTCAATGTTGGCATTGGAAACTTTTCCACAGATTTACTTAGTGAATAAATACTTTTACTTGATCATAACAGAATACATTTATCACCACAGTATTTGCATTTTTATTCCACTAAGCATCTGTTTTCTCTACACTGACATCTCTAGTTACAATCTTTTTTCAGTAAAACATCTTTTTTTACTGTAAACATCTTTCACCAATGTTTTCAAGTGCTAGGAATGTAGAATAATGAAGCAAAATGGAACCTAATAATAACTAATAGTGGAATTATGATTTTAAATTTATAACTCTTTCATATGCATGTTAAGCATTTATTCCTTTAAAAAATCCATAGTATATGCTTTATTCTTTTACAATAAAGAATAAAATGTTTAAGAAGAGAAGCTATTTCCCTGTCCATTGAGTATGATTAACACAATCATAGCACACAATAGAAATGCTAAAGAAACCATTACAATTAGACCTAGAAGATGGCATGGCCCATACCTTTTGTGATATTCATTCATTCAACAGCTATTATTGTGTGCCTACAATGTGCCAGGCACAGTTCTAAGTTACAAGCACACAGCAGTAAACAAGAAAAAGTGATTGCCTACTAGATTTTACATAGATTTTCCCATACTTTATAGATGTAAGATCTGTATCTTTCATTTTTTAAATAATATGAACTTTTAATTTTGGTTTGAAACATATTAATTGTACGTATTTATGGACTACAATGTTATGCTCTGATATATGTATATATTATGTAATCAAGGTAATTAACTCAAACATTTACCATTTCTTTGTGGTGTAGTATCATTTCTGTAGTGTAGTACAGTGTAGCGTCGTGTAATGTAGTATCATTTCTTTGTAGTTGGAACACACAAAATCATGTCTCCTCACTAGTTGAAGCTATATAACACCTTATTGTTTCCTATAGTCACTCTACTGTGCAATAGAACACCAGAACTTATCTTTCCTCTCTATTTTGTAACATTACACCTGTTGAACATTCTCTCTCCTTTTTCCCCCTCCCAATCCCAGTCTCTGGTAATTACTGTTCTATTTACTACATCTATGAGATCAACTTTTTTACATTCTACACATTCATGAGAATGTGTTTTTTGTTTTGTTTTGTTTTGTTTTTTTTGAGACAGAATTTCGCTCGTTACCCAGGCTGGAGTGCAATGGCGCGATCTCGGCTCACCACAACCTTCACTTCCTGGGTTCAGGCAATTCTCCTGCCTCAGCCTCCTGAGTATCTGGGATTACAGGCACACGCCACCATGCCCAGCTAATTTTTTGTATTTTTAGTAGAGACAGGGTTCACCATGTTGACCAGGATGGTCTCGATCTCTTGACCTCGTGATCTACCCACCTCAGCCTTCCAAAGTGCTGGGATTACAGGGATGAGCCACCGCGCCCGGCTGAATGTGATTTTTTTCTTACAGTGTCTGGCTTGTTTCACTTAACATAATGTCCTCCAGACTCATGCATGTTGCTCTGTGAATGGTGGGATTTCATTCTATGTCTGAATGGTATTCCATTATGGGTATATATACCCCATTTTCTTTATCCATTCATCAGTTAACGAACATTTAGGATGATTCCATATCTTGGCTATTGTGAATAGTGCTGCCATAAACATGGGAGTACAGAAATCTCTTTGACATACTGATTTATTTCCTTTACTTTGGATATATATCCAGTAGTGGGATTGCTGGATCATGTGGTAATTCAATTTTTTTTTTTTTTTTGAAGAACCTCCATGCTGTTTTCCATAGTGGCTGTACTAATTTATATTTCCACAGTGTACAAGCATTCTCTTTATTCCACATCCTAACCAACACTTATTATCTTTTGCCTTTGGTAATAGCCATTCTAACTGGAGTGAGGTGATATCTCAATATAATTTTGATTTGCATTTCCCCAATTATTAGTGATGTTGCACATTTTTTTCATATAGCTATTCATCATTTGGGTGTCTCCTTTTGAGAAATGTCTATTAAGGTCTTTTGACCATTTTAATTAGATTATTTGCTTTATGGCTTAGGGTTTTTATTTTTTGAGTTTGACCTGTTTGAGTTCCTTATAAATTTTAAGTATTAACCTCTTGTCATATGTTTAGTTTACAAATATTTTCTCCCATTCTGTAGAGTTTCTCTTCACTCTGTTGACTATTTCATTTGCTGTACAGAAACACCATAGTTCATATAATTCAATTTTTCTGTTTTTGTTTTTCTTGCCTGCACTACTGAGTTCTTATAAAAAATATTTTGCCCAGTTCAATGTCAT